CACGGCCAATCCACTGATAGAGAAAGTCATTCAGTAACCTCACAAGAACACTCAGGATCCACTCATGGCCAATCTAGATCTCAGCATGGAGAGTCAGCATCCAGTAGAAGACAGGGATCCTATCATGAACAGTCTGGAAATAGTAGGGAACATAGTGAATCTGACCATGGACGATACACACAATCAAGTTCTAAGGTAAATAGAAGGGGATCCAGTCATGGACAGTCCAGTGACAGTGAAGGGCCATCACAAGCCTCTGAAAGACACTCAGCATCTACTCGTGGGCAATCTGGATCTAACACAATAGGGAGACATGGCTCTAGCCATACAGAGTCACATGATATTCATAGTCAGTCAAGGGATAGCATAAGAACACAGTCAAGTAGGAATTATGGCCACTCTGGAGCACATCATTCTCAGTCATTGGGTGGTGTAAGACAAAGACAAGGATCTGGTCAAGGCTGGAAACATGGCAGCTATGGTAATGCCGCATATGATTATGGACAGTCTGGGTATGGACCTTCTGGGGGCAGCAGAACAAGTTATCACAATTCTAATCAAGAACAAACGTGTTATTACTTTGAATAAAAATCCAACAGAAAAGTAAATAACCCAAGATAGGAATAAATTCGCAGAAGAAATGAGACACGCAACATGCAGTTATGAAACGTAACATAATCTCTTCTTTTGGTAATAGGGTTATGGTATGTCTGTTCTTTTCTTTTACCTATATTTCTGTCATCTATTTCTTGTATTTGGTGCAAAATTTTTGTTAAGCTCCAGAATCAGTAAGCTCCTTGGTTAGAAAATAATAAGCAGTAGATAAATGGCATGAGGGATTAAATTCAGAACTATATAACAAAGTGGTTGGGGTGCTTTGTGATCAAAATACATTTGGTTTTTTCTTAATTTCTGAGACTAAAATGTGAATTTTCCAAAATTTGTTTTAATTTACTATTGAAAATCTTATCTGGGAAGCTGAGAGATATGGCTTAGGAGCCAAAATTTCTCTGGTACCATTGTAAAACATTTTACAACCTGAATAAATAATGTCCTGGCATTTTCCCAAGTGAAAATTCAGACTATTTATATCTTCAGTGCTACCAATGGAACTTCACAATCCTCTTTTGAGTTTATTGTCATGATCTCTTGTCTATGGTATTCAGAAAATTGTATTGTGCAAAAATTGACAATAAACTTTTCATTGAAATATAATTTCTCTTCTCGTTCATCCTCACTAATACAAATATGGCTGTCTGCCATGGAGTCAGATGCACATTTCTTTTATCTACCTCTGGGCACCTAAATACCAGTTAAGCATTCGGATACAAATAATGGAATACAAAAAAAGGTGAAAAAATAAAATAAACCTCAATTGCATCAGATCTTTTCCATTTACAGGAAGGTAAGCTCTATACTAATGACTTGAACTCAGGCACATTGGTTAATCATAGTCACCACAGTGGCCATTAGTAAACATGATCCTAATTGGCTATTTCTTAAATATTCAAACATTAGAAATAAGAATTATTCACCACAGATTATCTCTGCTAAAAATATTCATTGAAATATGCCTTTTGATGGAGGCTAATGGTAGTGGACTACAAATTCTGAAGTTACTAATATAAGAAAATAAACAAATATATATCCCTCTGTCTAGGAAGAGAAAATATATGAATTTATTATAAGCAACAAGAGAAATAATAGGAGCAGAAAAGTGTGTGCAGAAGATACTAACTTTAACATAAAATTCACTACTATGAATTCCAAAGAAAATATCCAGAATATCAGAACTAATGAGGATCTTAAAGGTCACCTTCTTAATTTCCAGATTAAAAGAAAAAAGGATATTTAATCCAATAAAAAAGAGAGCTAATTCTCTAAGCCTTCTAAATTCAAATTTGGTGTTCTATCCTTCCTCCTAAAACAACAGAAAAACCACTGCAATTGAGTCCATCACAACTCATAGTAACCCTACTGGGCAGAGGAGAACACCTCCTTAGGGTTTCGGAGACTGTAAATCTTTACTGGAGCAGACAACCTCATCTTTCCCCTTTACAGAAGCTGGGGAATTTGAATCATCTACTTTCAGGTTAGCAGTACTTCCAAATAAGAGAGAAAAACACCAAAACAAAAAACTTATACTCTACTACTTTCACTTTGGAATTCATGTAGTAGTTAGTTGTTAGATGCCATCAAATTGGCTCCAACTCATATCAGCCCTGTGTACAACAGAAGAAAACACTGCCCGGTCCAGCTCCATCCTCACAATTGTTGTTACACTTGAGCCCATTGCTACTGCCATTGTGCCAATACATCTCGTTAGGATCTTCCTCTTTTTGCTAACCCTCCACTTTGCCATGCCTGATGTCCTTCTCCAAGGACTGGTACTTCCTGTTAATATGTCCAAAGCATGAAAGACAAGATCTCATGCCACAGTGGCTTCTAAGGAATATTCTGGTTGCATTTCTTCCAACACAGATTAATTTGTTTGTTCTTCTAGCAATGCATGTTGCTGTTGTTGTTAGGTGCAATCGAGTTAGTTCTGACAAAAAGTGACACTATGCACAATAAAACGAAACACAGCCTGATCTTGCACCAACCTCATAATTGTTGTTACATGTGAGTTCATTGCTGCTATCACTGTGCCAATCTATTTCACTGGGGGTCTTCCTCCTTTCTGCTGACCTTCCACTTTACCAAGCATAATGTTCTTCTCCAGGGACTGGTCCCTCCTGATAATATGTCCGAGTATGAAAGATGAAGTCCCTGATAATTTTAATATTCTTCTCCAACATCGTAACTCAAATATATCAATTCTTCTATGATCTTCCTTATTCATTGTCCAACTTTCATATAGATCTGAGGTGATTGAAAATATCATGGCTTGGGTCAGGCACACCTTAATCTTCAAACTGATATCTTTACTCTTAAACATGTTAAAGCAATCTTGTGCAGCAAATTTACCTAATGCAATGTGTTGTTCAATTTCTTAACTGCTGCTTTCAAGAGTGTTGATTGTCGAGTTAAAGGAAATGAAGATTTTTTTTTTTAACTTCTTATCATGAATTGAGCTAAGGTTTACATTCAACAAATCATACACTTTGTTTCATCTCAAAGATTACAATCAGGAGGCAGGGCTTGATGGTGGCTAGGGTAGAGGTGTAGTGACGTTCTCTGTCAGCCACAGAACACCAGGCAAAGAAGATTCAGGGCAGAGCTGCAAGGCTTAGAACCACATAGGTAGGAATATTTTTAAAGTTTGATGGCTTATAGCTAGTGGAACTTTAAGCAGAAGTAAGAAATCGAGGACTTCTGAATCTGCTGGGCTCGGAGGCCCAAAGCCATCAACTTGGGTGAGACCAAATGGCAAGACCAAGTGGAGAAGCAGACACACCACAGAAAAATGCCATGGGAACCTTGGAGCAAAGGTGGACAATACACACTTTGTCCATTTTGCTTTGTTCTGATTTTCTTTTTATTTTGGTATCTGTTCATTGGCCTCCCACTGTTTGTGTACCTCCATTCTGGGGACTAGAGAGGGTGCCTGAGCGAGCAGACAGACACACCCCACCCTCACCACTGGTGGGTTCTTCTGCCACGCATGCGCACAGATACTCTCAGCCCAAAAGCCGGCCCTGAACTGTGTGTTTTTTTTTTTAAATACGGAAAAAGCCAGAACAAAGCGTTTGGAGAGGGAAAGAGAATTTAAAAACAAAACAGGTCGAAATTAAATTAAATCCTGAGGTATAGCATAACAACCAAGAGTGGCATCTTGAAACCTATCAGACAGCTTTGAAGGCAAGAAGCTAAAACAGGACATTACATTCATACTCATACTGTTGTTGTTGTTGTTGCTAAGGGCCGTGGAGTTGATTCTGACCCATAGTGACCCTGTATAGGGTTTCCTACTCATATTAGGCTACAGATTTTTTTTGCTTCTCTCCCTCCTCTCCCTATTCTGCAATTATAGACTACAGTATCCAGTTTAGTTTTTTGTTATTGTTGTTGTCGTTGTTTTTTGGTGTTTCTGTGGTCCTCCCCCCCTTGGTTTTTTGTTTGTTGTGGCTATTTTGCTTTTTTATGCTCCCCCTTCTGCCTTTGGGGTCTCTTTCTCTCCTTATATTACTCAAGAAGAGACAGCAACTGCTTCCATATAGTCAAGCTACAATCACATTTTATATAACACTAAAATCCAGGCAAGAACTAATACCAACTGCCATATACCAGAGAGGCAGACATTACTTGTGCAAGTTACTCTGAGTTAAGCAATAAGAAGAGTGAAAATGGAAGCCCATATCCTGATCACATCTACCTGGAAGCAATCGGAAAACATAAAAAATACCAAAACACACATTCAAGTAAGTATTAAGGCCACAGATAAACACTAAACATGTCCAAGAAGCAAAAGCAGATGACCATATCAGCACATGTCCAGAAACAAGATAAAATGTCTGAGACAAATGACCTAGAGGTAGACCTGGACTCCA